TGTTTTTATCATTTGCCTGTTATCATTCGCCTGTTATTAAGTTGAAAGTAAAAATAGTTATTATTGTTGTAATCACGTTATAAGTAGAAATAATTGTTATTTCGTTAAAAGTAGAAATAATTATTGTTATCAAGTTCTAAGTGGAAATAATAATGACTGTTCTCATTCACCTGTCGTTATCATTTGCCTGTTGTGATTTTTCGCCTATTGTTATCAAGTTAGAAGTAGAAAGTTATTATTATTGTTATCATTCGCCTGGTGTTGGTAGCGCACGTCTCTAATCCAGCACTGTGGAAGGTAGCGAGGGTAGGTGAATCACCGCACAATGATGTTGGCAAATCACCTTCCCGTGGGCGTCGAGGTGCCATAACGTGACTCGCCAGGAGAAGGCAGTAGAGCAAGTGGACTAATCGCCATCTTCACCTGTACAGGGATAGAGTGTTTCACCCTCGCACGCATGGGTTTTCTCCGGGTACTCCGGTTTCCCCCACTGGTATAAACACTCGTCATTAATTAGCGCATAATGCCTCCATAGAGGACCGCAGAGCTTGGACAATTGTTGGTACTGGCTCACCACGTGGCTTCCTTCCTGCACGGCTGTGGTTCCTCATGCCTCTGAGTCGTTCTTGTGCGCGCTATAAAACTTTTAATTATTACTATTATTCGCCAGGCGGTGGTGTTGCAAGCCTGTAATCCAGCAGTGGAAGGCAGCAAGGGTGAGTGGATCACACAGTGAATGTTGTGAAACCCCCTTCCCGTGGGCATCGAGGTGCCTTCTCCTGGCTGGCTGGCCAGGAGAAGGCAGTATAGAAAGTGGGATAATCGCCATCTTTGCCTGTACAGTTTAAAGTGCTGCCCCTCGTATGCGTGGGGTTTCTCCAGGTGCTCCGGTTTCCCCCACTTGTGTAAGAACTCATCATTCATTCGTCGAAAATGTAACAAAAACAATTCAGGACCCGACTGTGACTCAGTATGGATTTCCTGGACTAATCTATTTTATTATTATTATAAAGAATTAAAGGGGCTGTTTGATGACACGACTAGAGAGCTGGCTTGTACTGCGAGGAACTTAATATTCAACTTGGATTCCGCAACCCTCAATGGCCATTTTAAGTTAAATTTGTGCATGTAAGACTCGCACAAACAACCATACCCAGAAACCCATAGACCCCAACAGAGACCCATACATTCCTACAGACACTCAGACTCACACAGCGACCCCATACTCACAAAGACCGATAAACATGCACAGAGACCCATAGCCTCACACAGAGATCCATTCACTCAAAGGCCCAAAAACTCACACAGAAATCCATAGATTCTCGCAGAGGTCAATAGAATTTGAATATTTATTTATACTGGATGAATCAGATGAGCTATAACGATCTGTTTTCACAGACGTCCAATCGGGTAGGTCAGAAAATAACAAAAATACAAGACAAAAACATCACAGGAAAGGTAAACAAATTGTTTCGAAATATACAAATTAAACTGAACTCTTTTTATCTTACCATAGACTCATGAAAACATGTTGGACTCGCACAGAGACCTTAACCACTAAACCTCGAACAATTAAAACACTCTAAACCCCTAAGTATCTAAATCCATAACCATCTAAACCGCTAACCCTCTCAACCTATTTATCCTTACAGCCCTAATCTTTAAACCCCTCGCCCTCTAAAAGCTTAACCTCTAAACCCCCAAAACCCTAACCATCTCAACCCCTAACCCTCTAAATTCCTATACCCCTAATCCTCAACCCCTTTACCCTTCAAATCCTAACCCACCAAAACCCTCACTCTCTAAACCCCGTATTCTTTTAACCCTAACCGTCTAAGCCAATAAAAACCAAACCCTCTAAACCCTCTGAATCCTTAACCCTCTAAACCTTGAAACCCTAACCTTCTAAAACCCTAAATCCCTAACCTATTCTAAATACCAACCAATTTAAACCATAACCCTCTAAAGAACTAACCCTCTAGACCCAACCCTCTGAACTCATAACCTCCTAAATCCCCAACCTCTAAAACCCTAATTCTCAAAACCCTAACGTTTTAAAACCCTCGATCCGTAACCTAATCCCAACACATTTAAACCCCAACCCTCTAAAGAACGAACCCTCTAGACGCCTAACCCTTAAAACACCTATGCCCCTAAAATGCTAACCCTCTAAACACATAATCCACTAAACCCGTAACCCTCTGAACCCATAAAGGTTTTTTTTGTTAGATTATGTAAATATAAACGTGTCGTTAAACCAACCACCACCCTAAACAGCCAATTAGTAAAATTTGTCACATCAACAAAAAGTGGCATTTAGTGTTTGAGACTAACCAAAAAAAAACTTTATTATGGACAATATTAGTTGTGAAAGTCTAGGTGTTAAACCCTCAACTCTCAAACCACTAAACCCCTTACACGGTAAATCCGTAACCCTTGAAACCCCGATACCTCTAAACCCCTAAACACATACCCTTATAACCTCCTCAACTACTAACCATTCAACCTCCAACAATCGAAACCCCTAATCCCCTAAACATCAAAACCTCTAAACCCCTAACCCTCTAAAACCCATAACCTTGTAAACCAATACACAGAGCAATCAAAACCCATGAACCCTCTAAACCTCTAAACACCCAACTCTCTAAACCCCGAACCCTCTAAATCTATAACCTTATAAACTCTAATCAAATAAAAAAAAACCTCAACACCCTTTACCCTTAAAACCCTATCCGTCTAAACTCACCCTTTGAAATCCTAACCCAAATACACCGAAAACCCTAACCCTCTAAACCCCTCATGAGGCGATCCACATATACAAACACAGAGACAATTTCAACCGAGAATATGGATTATGGCTTAGCAATCATTGGAAGGACGTAATAAACCATTTCGGATCTTAACTGATTGTGTTCACGTTTACGGTGACTTTCAGACCGCGTTCCACTCACTGGAATTGTATTCTTCGCAGGGAATGGATTCTTTGCTCCACTGCAGTTTCCCCTCACTACTCACCCATTGACACGACGGTCAATGGTACAGTGTATAATAACAGATAGTATAACATTTATATGCTTAATACAATGTACAAAGTAATATATAGTATCGTAATTGTATAGTAAATATATAGCAGTGTGATACACATTAGGGTGGGTAGAATAATACATAGTGTTATATGGTTTATAGCAATACAGTATATAATTTAATGTTGGGTTTGTCTATGGCAGTATATAGTACGGTGTAGACTCGTGTGATGTAAGAGAATAAGTTTAGATGGAAGCATATTATATAATTTTTAAGATGTAGAATTGTAATGTATTACTTACTGTTAGTAACTCAGCTTATTGTAGAGTATAGTAAGTATACTGATGATACTATGTGGTTTATACTTTAGTTGTTTACGTGTTGGTTTTAGTTGCTGCAGCTACATACTATTAACACTCTTTCCCTTTATTAATGCTACCCCTATCCCCTCCCTTTGATGCTGAATTAGTACTATTCACATACCTGCATTTCCCATATCCTCTCCCTTTGATACTGCTAATCCTGCATAATGCACAGGCATAAGTAGTACTAATCACATTCCTGCATTTCCCATGGAAATGCTAAATTCCTCTTGATATGCAAATTCCTTTGTCAAGGCGCCCAGCTTATATATATGCTCCAAGCTCGTGTGCTGTTTCATTCAGACGCTGTCGCCTCGACAGACCTGGTTTTCACCTGAGAACGGCTGCTTGCGTTGTGGCCGAAACGTCGTGAGAATGATTTTATTATGTTTTATTATTTTATTATTTTATTACTTCCCTTCTACATGACTTTATCGAAAGAACCAAGAAGATGAATCCCTGCAGTCACGAAAGCTTTAAATCCGAGTGCTCCTAATCTCAGCTTGTTACCTGTATAAAAGACACCTGTTTACAGAAGAAATCAATCAATCAGATTCCAAACTCTCCACCAAGGCCAAGACCAAAGAGCTCTCCAAGGATGTCAGGGACAAGATTGTAGACCTACACAAGGCTGGAATGGGCTACAAGACCATCGCCAAGCAGCTTGGTGAGAAGGTGACAACAGTTGGTGCGATTATTCGCAAATGGAAGAAACACAAAATAACTGTCAATCTCCCTCGGCCTGGGGCTCCATGCAAGATCTCACCTCGTGGAGTTGCAATGATCATGAGAACGGTGAGTAATCAGCCCAGAACTACACAGGAGGATCTTGTCAATGATCTCAAGGCAGCTGGGACCATAGTCACCAAGAAAACAATTGGTAACACACTACGCCGTGAAGGACTGAAATTCTGCAGCGCCCGCAAGGTCCCCCTGCTCAAGAATGCACATATACATTCCCGTCTGAAGTTTGCCAATGAACATCTGAATGATTCAGAGAACAACTGGGTGAAAGTCTTGTGGGCAGATGAGACGAAAATGGAGCTCTTTGGCATCAACTCAACTCGCCGTGTTTGGAGGAGGAGGAATGCTGCCTATGACCCCAAGAACACCATCCATAAAAGGACGTCGGGTCCCGGGGTCCCAGGGTCCCAGGGATCCCAGGGTCCCGGGGTCCCAGGGTCCTAGCCTAGCTGGTCTTCAGTCGTCGTCTTCAGAGCACTGCCTCGGGCCGTCCTGGGGTCCGTCTTTTATATCCACCTCGGGGACTCTCCACCCTCGGTACCGCCCCCTTTCTGGAACCTTCCAGGTGGCTCTGGAATAACCCCCCAACCCCTCACCTGGGGTCGGGGGGGGGAACACGGCCTCTCAACGGTCCCGGTTCTCTCTCGAACTCACGGTGGCACCCCCTGTAGACTCGTGCCCGCAACTACAGGTGGTGTGTGCTTTGCATTTCCGACGCTACATATACAGCAAGATATACTCTACATAGAGAGAGCATGGCATCTGTGTGTGTGTACTGCATGACACACGGTGTACGGTGTGTGATGCACAGTGATGGGCTGCTGCTGCTGCACCTGTTGACGTTGATGTCGGGGCAGGCAGAGTCCTCGCTCCGGGTCCCGGTGGCGTTGCTCCGGGGGAAGCTGCAGAAGAAGGCGTTGGCCAGGAGGCAGGCGGCCTGCTCCTGAGACATCGTCAGCATCAAGCCGGTGTCCCGGCGGAGCAGCGGCAGAGGCTGGGGACACATGCGGTGCACAGGGCGCAGCAACGTTACACGCGGCAACGGGTGGCACGGGGTTGCAGAGGAGCAACGGCGCAATGGTAACACCGATGCAGATCACTGAGCCTGCAGCATTGAGATGCTGGCGTCTGGATCAAGGAGTTCTGAAATGCACGTAAACCAGATGATTGTTGTACACGTGAGGTTAATGGTTCAGCCCTGTAATTACTTGCTCATGCAACTGCTGGTGAAAGAACCCCCACTAGAGGGAGGTGGGTATGTTTTGGCCAACTTTTCCACACTGACCATTCGTCTTGAAAGAGGTGGGAGTACTCGCCATTTAGCCCACTGCACGCGACCCACCGATGGACTGTGGGTGGACAAAAACAGGGAATTGTAAGAATCCTGGTCAATGTTTTCAAGGCCAGGCTGGGAGATCGAACCGCGACATTTTAAGTCAATCGTGACAACCATTCCACAGTCATGGCAGCAGCCCTTTTGCAGAAATCAAATAAAATATTGGAGAGGGCTTCACACAAGAAACAAGAAGATTTAGTGGTTTGGACGTGGCTCTCCAATGAGTACAGAGAGGGTACCACAAGTAGCGGTGCATACTCGGGCGCAAGGAAATAAAAGCAGAGACAAAGAATGAGATAGATCGATGCAATAAAGAATTGGCAGTGGTGCACCTAGCACGATCCCTTGCTGAGCGCATCGCGCCTCGTGCACACAGACAGCACCAAGCACGACCCCTTGCTGAGCGCTGCAGTAGCAGCCGCTCCCCCCCATCCCCGGACCCCTCCCCCCACCCTCCACCCTCCACTTCTCACCCTGACGCCACACAACCCGTGGGTAGGCGCTGCCCTCTGGTGGACACACACACCTATACAACAACAACAACCGCCATTCGCCACTAAGTGGAGGCGACAGACCAGGTAGCTTCCCCACAGCGTTACGCAACCGATGAAAAGATAATGCCGCTCGACTGATTCGGAGTGAGACCTCTGCTGATAAACTGGAGCCGGTCATAAGCACACTGCCCAGGTATGGGAAACTCTCCACTCTCTCCACAACTGCCCCATCACCGATTGGGAGTTGTGGGGGTGGAGTGTCCGATGGTGCAAAATACCCAGGCAGGTGCTTAATTATGGTAGGGCTGATGGTAAGGCCCCACCTCTTAGTGGCACGCTCCAGTCTCAGCAGCAGCGTCTCCAACTCCTCTTCTGAATGAGCAGCTATTACCAAATCATCGGCATACATAACGTGGTTGACCAATAGGGAGCCATCCCTTGATCGCACCCGGGCGTCGATCAGCCTCCCATTATATCTGTACCAAATGGAAATTCCCCCGGTACAGCTATTGAAGTCTTCACGAACTACGCAGTCGAAATAGATGTTAAATAATGTGGGAGCCAGAGGACATCCCTGTCGCACCCCAAGGTGTACAGGGAAAGGCTCCGACTCCAGGCCATGTAGTTTTACCCGGGCCCGCTCACCATCATGAAGGTCCTTAATGATCGTGAGCAGAGGGTCAGGGACTCCGAAAGCACGAAGAACAACCCAGATGCTGTTTTGTTGCGGCCGGTCGACCGCACAGTTGGGGTGATGGAGGTGGTGCGGTGCTTACCATGCCGCTATCACCACATGCACCACACCATCTACCCACCCCGTGATACACACCACACACACCACAAACACCACTCGCACCACACACACCACATACACGATAAACACCACACACACCACACACACCACAAACACCACACACACCACACACACCACATAAACCACTCACACCACACACACCACTCACACCACACACCACACACACCACACGCACCACATGCACCACACCATCTACCCACCCCGTGATACACACCACACACACCACAAACACCACACACACCACTCACACCACACACACCACTCACACCACACAAACCACTCACACCACACACACCACTTACACCACACACACCACACACACCACTCGCACCACACACACCACACACACCACAAACACCACACACACCACTCACGCCACACACCACACAAACCACTCACACCACACACCACTCACACCACACACACCACACACACCACAAACACCACTCACACCACACACACCACAAACACCACACACACCACACACACCACACACACCACATAAACCACTCACACCACACACACCACTCACACCACACACACCATACACACCACACGCACCACATGCACCACACCATCTACCCACCCCGTGATACACACCACACACACCACAAACACCACACACACCACTCACACCACACACACCACTCACACCACACACACCACACAAACCACTCACAACACACACACCACTCACACCACACACACCACACACACCACACACACCACTCACACCACACACACCACACACACCACAAACACCACACACACCACTCACACCACACACCACACAAACCACTCACACCACACACCACTCACACCACACACACCACAAACACCACACACACCACACACACCACACACACCACATAAACCACTCACACCACACACACCACTCACACCACACACACCACACGCACCACACGCACCACACCATCTACCCACCCCGTGATACACAACACACACACCACAAACACCACACACACCACTCACACCACACACACCACTCACACCACACAAACCACACAAACCACTCACACCACACACACCACTCACACCACAAACACCACAAACACCACACACCACACACACCACTCACACCACATAAACCACTCACACCACACACACCACTCACACCACAAACACCACACACACCACTCACACCACACACCCCACTCACACCACACAAACCACACAAACCACTCACACCACACACACCACTCACACCACACACACCACAAACACCACACACCACACACACCACTCACACCACACACACCACTCACACCACACACACCACACACACCACTCACACAACATAAATCACTCACACCACACACACCACTCATACCACAAACACCACACACACCACTCACACCACACACACCACTCATACCACACACACCACACAAACCACAAACACCACACACACCACTCACACCACACACACCACTCACACCACAAACACCACACACACCACTCACACCACACACCCCACTCACACCACACAAACCACACAAACCACTCACACCACACACACCACTCACACCACACACACCACAAACACCACACACCACACACACCACTCACACCACACACACCACTCACACCACACACACCACACACACCACTCACACAACATAAATCACTCACACCACACACACCACTCACACCACACACACCACACACACCACTCACACCACACACACCACACACACCACTCACACCACACACACCACAAACACCACACACACCACTCACACCACACACACCACAAACACCACACACACTACTCACACCACACACCACTCACACCACACACACCACACACACCACAAACACCACTCACACCACACACACCACACACACCACACAAACCACTCACACCACACACACACCACTCACACCACACACACCACACACACCACACGCACCACATGCACCACACCATCTACCCACCCGTGATACACACCACACACACCACTCACACCACAAACGCCACACACACCACACCCACCACGCACACCACACAAACCACTCACACCACACACACACCACTCACACCACACACACCACACACACCACACGCACCACATGCACCACACCATCTACCCACCCGTGATACACACCACACACACCACAAACACCACACACACCACTCATACCACATACACCACTCACACCACACAAACCACACAAACCACTCACACCACTCACATTACACGCACCACACACACCACACACACCACACACACCACACACACCACACACACCACTCACACCACACACACCACACACACCACACACACCACACACACCACACACACCACTCACACCACTCACACCACACACACCACTCACACCACACACACCACACACACCACACACACCACACACACCACACACACCACACACACCACTCACACCACACACACCACTCACACCACACACACCACTCACACCACACACACCACTCACACCACACACACCACACACACCACACACACCACTCACACCACACACACCACTCACACAACTCACACCACTCACACCACACACACCACTCACACCACACACACCACACACACCACACAAACCACACGGTTCCCCGGAAAGACGGTGTCACTGGGACCGCAGCCGGGGAAGGAAACTGGGCAGCAGATGCCAGGACTGGACTGGACAATGGCTGCTGCCAACAGACTAACTCTGTTCAGAGATAGGATCAATAGGAGATAGGATCAATAGGATCAATCCAATGTATTATATAATACTGTAACAACTACAGGGGCATATCACTCTTCAGTGTGCCGGGAAAGGTCCTGGCAAGGATTATTCAACATCGCCTTGCTAGGCACGCTGAGGAGAGGCTTGCGGAGCCCCAATGCGGTTTCAGGAAAAGGCGGTCCTGCACGGATGCCATATTTTCTGTCCGTCTGCTACAGCAGAGGTGTAGGGAATTCGAACAAAACCTACATCTCTGCTTTATTGACCTGGTCAAAGCCTATGATACCATCAGTAGGCCTGGACTCTGGTTTGTTCTTCGTGCTTTCGGAGTCCCTGACCCTCTGCTCACGCTCATTAAGGACCTTCATGATGGTGAGCGGGCCTGGGTAAAACTACGTGGCCGGGAATCAGAGCCTTTTCCTGTACACCTTGGGGTGCGATAGGGATGTCCTCTGGCTCCGACATTATTTAACATCTATTTTGACCACGTAGTTCGTGAAGCCTTCAATAGCTGTGCCGGGGGAATTTCCATTTGGTACAGATATAATGGGAGGCTGATCGATGCCCGGGTGCGATCAAGAGATGGCTCCCTATTGGTCAACCCCGTTATGCATTCCGATGATTTG